AAATAAAGATATCCGTATCGCTGCACTTCAACATGTCCACCAAAAATTATATATGTTATATTAAACTTAGCTTCCATTTTAAAAAGTCTGTACATTTTCTGAAAGTATGACTGAACTGATCACCTCATTACCTGACAGAGACACAGAGTTACTCTCCACATGTCTGTCATCACAGTTCTGAAGATGATTGGTTTTTATCAGAGTGTTAGCCTCCATGGATCTTATTAAGCTCTCCACAAAACAATTACATCATCGTCAAACTGTGGTGTTTTGGACTCCCAAACAGGAGCTTCAGTGGCTCAAAAAGTAGATTTTGTCCTTTGAATACGACTGAAATATCAACCATAGAGATACAATTCTGCAGCCAATACAAGCAACAACTGCTGGATTGTGAATTAAGACACATGAGTGAGAGGAAAGTAGATTTTAGAGTTCCCACTTTTTGTATAGACTGTTTTAAAGAGCAGAGGAGCTGCAACAGTGGTAAAAAATAAAAGGGCCTTCCCCGACTTTTCTGAGATGTGTTGTTGTTGCTATCAAACACAGCATAAAGAGTTTTAATCTGAAGACAGGGCCATCATTTAAGTAACGTTGATTTAATTTTGAGCATGTCAGAGTTACCTTTGGAAATGTATAAGTTTTAATCTATCTAGTTTGTTATCTTATGTTGTATGATTATAGCTAAATGTAATCCAAATGCTGATTTTTAAAGGATAATTTGACTGTTCCTCTTACAGATGAAAATTATGAATAGTATCAAAACTTATAGGAATGACTTGTCTTTAGGCATAGTATTGCTTTTTTTTTGTTGAAGAATTTAACCATTTTGGGGGGTTAGATATGTCTTTCATTTTCAGTCCATATATGATGGCATTAAAAAGATGATGACATACATATTAAAGAAATAGAAGTGGCTTGCATTTTGATTAATTTGAAAAAAAAGTACACACAAATCACACTTTTACAAAGCTACTCTTAAAGATATTATTTGTATTATAAAGCAGGCCCTCATGTCTTTCCATTACTGTTACAATAACAGATCTTACATACATTTATTTTTTGCACGTGAAAACAATTTCCTTCAAGTGTCAGGAAATTTCCTTCATCCTCAG